AGCCCGACCCCCACCCTCTCTCTCTCTCTCCCTCCAGAAAGGCAGATAGTATTTTCCGATGACGGTGACGGTGTGTGAATGTCTACGTATCTGTGCAGGGGTAAGGGGAGGGTGAGGTTCCTCAAGGAAGTAGGCGGAAGACACTTACTTGGAATCACAGTGGCTTTAAAGTTTATATTTTTCTCACTTGCTTTGGTTTTGTGTGGGCAAAATCATTTTGATTCCCAGTGATTAGTCACTCACTTTGACCGAGAGTTTTGTCTAGCTGAGTCTTAGCTCACGTTGCACCAAATCCCATGAATAGAGATTTCGTGGAAATACAATTAGCCGTAATTCTCATCAGAAATCAATCTCCAGAATTTCCATGTTTACGTGGAAAGCATGGAATGCTCAGTGTGGTTTGGATACTCTTTAGGCTAATAATAATCCTTGTATTTGATAAGGAGTCTATTGATGTGAACTCAGAACTCATCTCAAAGCGCTTCACGGGACATATTGTAAAGTGGATTGACTGTGGATTTCAATATGTTTCGCTCTGTGACAACCCTGCAAGCTTGTGAGTTCACCTTTGGAACTTTATGAGCTACGCTCGCAAAGTCCGCAACACCTTTTTAAAATACTTTCTTGTGTATCTTGATAGCTCCAAACACGTCTACTACACGATCAAAATCTAGTGTCTGTGTCAAACCCTACTCAATAGACAGGATTGCGAGTGTGTTCACTTTCTCCTGGATCGTTGTAGACCTCAGTGAGTTTTTGATGAGACTCAACTTTGTGAACGAGTGTCACCTTGACAGACTGTCACCTTGGGCGTGTTAAGAACATTTGCGGCGTCTCCTTAGAGCTGAACTGGCCCCAAGGTGACGTTTGGCAACGGAATGTCGGAATCGAGCCACCGCTCTGTGTGACAGTCTCCAGTCTGGTTCCTGAGCCACGTGGGTCCACAGTATTCCAGGGCACTCACTGCTGATGACTAGGCCAGAGCCCGATGAGCAGAGGGAGCGAACAGGATGGTAGAGGGTTAGGAGGTCGGAGAGCTGGTGGGTAGCAAGACCATGGAGGGCTTTGAAGGTGAGGATCAGGATATTGAACTGTATCCTTTGTGTGATGGGAAGCCAGTGGAATTGGGCAAGGATGGGGGTGATTAGGGATACGGATCCTAGTGCGGGAGAGGACATGGGCAGCAGAGTTCTGGATGACCTGCAGCCTGTGGAGGGAGGAGTTGGGGAGGTTTGCACAATCAAGTAATAGAGGAATCCTTTCTAGTAATCACAGTGTTGTTAAAGTTAGCATTGTTTTGACTTGCTGTGGTTTCTGTGGACAAAACCGCTGTGATTGCCTGTAATTAATCTTACACTCTGTCCAACTGAACATCCAGGAACTGACTCCCACTGCCACGAACCGTGAATCCCAATAAGTAGAGATCTCATAGAGTTGTTACCGGTATCTCAATCGGCCTTTAAACCCACCAACAACCTGTCCCTGGGATTTCCTGTGAAACTGATAATTCTCAGTGGAATCCTCAGTGTGGTTTGGAGACGCATAATAATAACAATAATAATGACAATATTAATAATAACAATAATAATAATAATAATAATAACAATAATAATAATAATTCTTGCATTGATATAGCGCCTTATCATATCGTTGAGGCGTCTCAAAGTGCTTCACAGACTATACTGTAAAGTGAATACTGTAAAGCACATAAAGGAAAAAAGGTTAGTTAAAGGTAGGGTGGGGCCAGTCAAAGGCAATGACGGCCATCTTGTTGTGGAGGCAGAGGGATGGCTGATGTACTGAACGAGTACTTTGCATCTGTCTTCACAACGGAAATGGATGCCCCAAATGCCGCAGTATTGGATGAGAGGGCAGAGGAATAGATCAGATTACTATAGACAGAGAGGAAGTTCTGAAAAGATTGACTGGGCTCAAAATTGATAAGTCCCCAGGACCAGATGGGTTTCACCCAAGGTTGCTGTGGGAGATACGGGTTCAAATAGCGGAGGCTTTGGCCATTATATTTCAATCATCATTGGACACAGGAGTGGTGCCAAGAGACTGGAGAGTGGCTAATGTTACCCCACTCTACAAAAAGGGGCAGAAAGACAAACCCGGAAATTACAGGCCAGTCAGCCTAACCTCGGTAATAGGAAAACTACTGGAGACCATAATCCGGGACAGAATAAATCTCTACTTAGAGGAACACGAGGTAATTAGAGACAGCCAACATGGATTTGTTAAAGGCAAATCTTGCCTAACAAATCTAATAGAATTTTTTGAAGAGGTGACTGCGAGGGTTGATGAGGGAAATGCGGTGGACATTATTTACACGAATTTTAAAAATGCTTTTGACACAGTGCCGCATAAGAGGTTAATAAAAAAATTAGAGGCCCACAGTATTAAGGGGACAGTTTGGATTAGGAACTGGCTGAGTGACAGAGAGCAGAGGGTGGTGGTTAATGGGTGTTTCTCGCAATGGAAGGAGGTGTGCAGCGGTGTCCCCCAGGGATCGGTATTGGAACCACTGCTTTTTCTAATATATATTAATGATCTGGACTTGGGCATAGGGAGCACTATTTCCAAGTTTGCAGATGATACCAAGTTAGGTAGGGTAGTAAATAGTGAGGAGGACTGTAACCAACTGCAGGCAGACATACACAGAATGGTGGAATGGGCTGACATGTGGCAGATGGATTTCAATGTGGATAAGTGTGAGGTGATATACTTAGGAAAAATGATAGGAGGCAATATAGACTTGGAGCTCAATCTTAAGGGGGGTGAACGTACAGAGAGATCTGGGTGTTCAAGTAAGCAAATCATTAAAGGTAGTGGGGCAGGTAGATAGGCAGTAAAAAAGGCATTTGGTGTACTGAGCTTTATTAGTAGGGCATAGAGTATAAGAGTAGGGGTTATGGTTAATCTGTACAAAACACTGGTTAGGCCTCAGCTGGAGTACTGCGTCCAGTTCTGGGCACCTTACTCAGGAAGGACATTAAGGCACTGGAAAGGGTGCAGAGGAGATTCACGAGAATGATACCAGGAATGGGGAACCTTAGCTATGAGGACAGGCTGGAGAAGTTAGGACCTTTCCCATTAGAGCAGAGAAGGTTACGCGGGGACTTGATAGAGGTCTTCAAGATCATGAAAGGTTTCGACAGGCGAGATAGGGAAAAGCTGTTTCCGCTGGTAGGTGTGTCCGTGACCCACGGTCACAGTCTTAAGATATCTACCAAAAGAAGCAGAGGGGAGGTTAGAAGAAATTTTTCACTCAGCGAGTTGTTAGAATTTGGAATGATCCGCCCGAAAGGGCAGTGAAGTCCGATTCGATAACAGCTTTTAAGAGAGGACTGGACAGGTATCGGGGAAGACGGGTTTGTGGGGTTATGGGGAGAAAGCTGGTGATTTGGGGTTAGTGAAAGTGACGCTCTGTCAAAGAGCCGCACAGACTCGATGGGCCGAATGGCCTCCTTCTGCGCCATAACATTCTATGATTCTATGATTCTATGTATGTGTGTGTGTATGTGTATGTGTGTGTATGTATGCGTATGTTTGTATATGTATGTATGTATGTGTGTGTCTATGTGTATATGTGTGTGTGTATGTTTGGGACGTCTAGAAGACGTGAAAAGCGCTATATCAAATGCAAGGATTATTATTATTATGTGTTGCATGTCTTTGCGTGTATGCATGTTCCTTGACGTGTGCTCTGATTTCATGCAACACAGACTGTCTCAGCTTCTGTGGAATGTTTACACAGCCTCACTTTTGGCCCTGATCTCAGTGTTGGCTCCGAGGTATGTGGGTTGCGTAACCGGAAGTCAGTGTCTTTGCAATCTACAGCCCACCTCACTCGCCCCCCTAGCAGCCCACCTTCCCCTGAACCCCCCCCCTCCCGCCACCCCCACCCCCACCCACCAGCCCTCAGCCCAAGACAAACTTTCATATTATTAACTCTGAGCATCTCACATTGTTTCACAGATCTTTACGGTTAGGTGTAAGGAGTGTCTGCTCTCAGCCGTCTGCACTCTCGCCTCAAGATTTGGGTTCGAGCCAAACTCATCCCCCACCATCCCCTCCCTCGCTTTCAGGGTACAGAGCTGTGCAGTGCAGTGCTGGGGGTGGGGAGAGAGAGGGAGAGAGCATTGCATTGTCAGAGATGCCGTCCTCCGGATGAGACGAACCCTGAGAAGTGCTTTCAGACCTGGAAGGCGCTGGGTCAGATGTCAGGGTTATCATTAATTTTATCATCTTCAATCTCATGTGGAGTCCCATATTGCAGTGTTTAGAGCCCTCACCTTGCAAGCCAGAGGACCTGGGTTCGATTCCCGGGCAGGACGAAACCTTAGACAAGTTTCCTTACTCCACACACCTCTGTTTTCGCAGCAGTGAGTAGGAACCCGGTTGTCAGTCGATTGGCGGATCGCTTTCTGGGGGTAATTAATAATCCCTCCAAAAAAAGTTGCTCACTCAATCCACGACTGTTTGCGGGGACACTGCTGGGCCAATTGCCTGCCGCGTTTTGCCCACAAAATACAATTCACTCCACAGTATATTCTGTGAAGCCCTTTGAGACGCCTGAAATGTGTGATAAGGCGCCATATCAAATACAGGATTATTATTATTAAATCTCAGCCTCTGGCGAAGGAGTCTCCAACAGTGAAACCGTTGATCAGGATTTACTGCTGTGATTTATGCTTTGTCAGATTCCCCTGAAGCATGTCTTAACTTACAATGCATGGGGGATGGGCGGGGGAGTGACTGAGTCACTGATAGACGGTGTGTGGCTGTGGGTGACGTTGGCTGATGTCAGTGGAAAGGTGAGGGCGGAGAGTTTGAAACTTGCTGCATAAATACACCTGAGCTCAGGGCAGCTTCACACTCAGCTCCTCACAGCTCAGCTCCTCACAGCTCAGCTCATCACAGCTCAGCTCCTCAGTCACAGACAGCCAACAGCATGGACACCAAGATCATCCTCCTTCTCCTGGTCACAGCCCTCACTGCTCTCCACACCACACAAGGTGAGTGTCTGCTGCCTCCTGCCTCCCACACCAACCTCACTCCGTTTCTCTTCTCAATCTCTGCCGTCAAGTGGACTTGGGTTTGAGCCCCAGATCGGGGTATCTGAGCTCACAGTCCAGGCTGACACTCCAGCGCAGGGCTGGGGGGACACAGAGAGAGAGAGAGAGAGAGATACTTTGTCAAAGGCTCCATCCTTCGGATGAGATATTAAACAGAGCTCCCCCCAACTCTTTGTACGTTCAAGCCCAATGCACACTCTGGGGTCCCCCAAAGCCTTGGCTCTCACCAACCTGCGCCTAATACTCTCCGGAATTAGGTAAGCAGGAGCCCTCCCTCCAGGGAGAGAGCGCACATTCCATCCCAACTATCTATCTCTGGCATTTCCAGGTGTAGGAGGGATGGACGGAAATCTCAGCTGTGTTTGGAGACTCTTAAGCAAAGCTGATGGGTTTCCCCGTGTGTCAGACACCCGACTGGGCAAAAAATAATTCAGGTGGTCATTAAAGGGAACGGTTGCCTGTTATTTGGTGAGCGCTGTACATCCAGGAGAGAGAGAAATAAAAAGTGTTGTTCGAGAGAAAGAGAGAGAGAATAATGGTGTGTGTTTTTACAGGGTTTCCAGCATTCCCACCTATCTCATGTTGCACCCGGGTGGTTAATTACTTCACCAAACACCTGGGGAAACGGGTCACGAAAGTGGAGATTCAGAAAACTAATCACTGCACGATCAAGGCCGTTGTGTAAGTTTTACTCACAGAAATTTATTATTGATAACAATAATAAACCTTGCATTTGATATAGCACCTTACCACACAGTTGCGATGTCTCAACGCGCTTCAAACAATATACTCTAAAGTGTTGTGACTGTGTATTTTGTGGGCGAAACGTGGCGGCCCAATTGCCCACAGCAGTGTCCCACAAACAGTCGTCATAATATTAATCTTTGCGCCTCACGTAGCGCCTTATCAAGTCTTCGCAACGTCTCAAAGCGCTTCACAGCATATACTGTAACGTATGGTGACTGTATATTGTGGGTGAAACACACGTGTTGTGTGGGGTGTTGAGCAGTGTGTGACTGCGGGTTGGTTATTATGGGATGGCGGGGGTGTCTGGTTGCTAATGGGCTGTGTTTTGATGTCTCTTAGGCTTCACATACGCAAACGTAAGCTTTGCGTGGATCCCAATAACAAGGTTCTGAAAAAGTGGCTGAAGGCGAGAAAGATCCCCATGTGAGGGTGTGCGAGCGACGACCAGGACGAGGGGAGGGGAAGGGGAGATCCCGGATGGAAGTGAACCCCAACCACGGAAAGCCCACATGTGCCACTTGCTCCGAGGCCTTCAGTCATCCAGACACACAGGCCTCTCGCCTACACCTGTCCCGAGCACCAACTGAGCGCAGTGATTCGGGCAGGACTGCACTTTAAGACACTCACACTGTGAAACGTTCTGTACACGCCTTATACACGCCTCTTACACACTCTGTACATGTGTGCAATGCAATATTTATCACCGTTGTTGGTCAGACCGATTTAATAAATAACAGTTTTTGTTAATATTTGAATCTGAGTTTCATTCAATCATCCTCTCCGCGACTTTCGCTCTCTCTCTCCATCTCTCCTTCCCTCTCCATCTCTCCTTCCCTCTCCATTTCTCCCCCTCTCTCCATCTCTCCCTTCCTTTCCATCTCTCCCTCCCTCTCCATCTCTCGTCTCTTTCTCCATCTCTCCATCTCCCATCTCTCTCTCCATCTTTACCCTCCCTTTGCATTGGGGCTCGGCCTGGGGTTGAGATCAGTGTTTGCGGTGAGGGTTGGGGCTGGGTTTGAAGTTAAAGTTGGGCTGGGGTTTGGGTTGTGCCTGGGATTTTGTTTGGGGGTTGGGGCCGGGTTTGAGATTGGGGTGGGGCTGGTGTTGTGGCTGGGGTTGGGGTTCAGCATTATGGGAAATATTGAGCTCCTGACCACCTTCTTTTGGCTGAGATTGGTATTGCAGCACTTCCCATCTGAGGAGTGTGACCTGCCCTCACACAGAGAAAGCAGAGATACTGGAATGCAGAGCTGACTTGAGCACCTGGTCACGAGCTCAGGTCGGGCTTGTCCTGCTGAAGAGGCCATCCCATGACCTGGTGAAGTTCAGCTCTGCATTGTCCTTTGATAATCTGTGGCCTGGAAAAGTTTGGGGGGGGTCTTGTCTGAACTAATCATCCCTCCCTCTCCATTTCTCCCCTTCCTCTCCATCTCTCCATCCCTCTCCATCTCTCCATCCTCTTCCCCTCTCCTCATGTATCCCTCCCTCTCCATCTCTCGCCTGCCTCTCCATCTCTCCCCTCCCTCTCCATCTCTCTCCCTCACCCCATCTCTCCTCCCTCTCTTCATTGCTCCTCTCCCTTTTCATCTATCATATCCCTCCCCATCTCTTCCCTCTATCTCAATTTGTGCCTTCCCTCTCCATCATTCCCTCCCTCTCCATCTCTCCCCCTCCTTGCATCTCCATAAGACATAGGAGCAGGAGTAAGCTATTTGGCCCCTTGCGCCTGCCCTGCCATTTAATAAGATCATGGCTTCTTCTAACCTAAATCCATTTACCCGCCCTATCCCATATCCCATAATCCCTCTGTCCTCTAGAAATCTATCAACCTCAGTCTTGAATCTTGCTCTCCCTCTCCATCTCTCCTCACTCTCCATCTTTCTCCATTCTCCATCTCTCCTCTCCTCCATCTCTCCCTCTGTATCTATTATCTTCCTCTCCATCTCTCTATCTCCATCTTTCCCCTCCCTTTGGGTTGGGCCTGAAATTGAGGTCAGGATTTGGGGCTAGTGCTATGGTTGGGGCTGGGGTTGATGTTGGGATTGGTGTTGGAGTTGCGGTTGGTGCTGGGGATGGTTCTGTGTTTGGGGTTGGCGGCAGGTGTTGGAGTTGGGGTTGAGTTTGAGGTTGGTGTTGCGTTTGGGGCTGGGGTTGGGGATGGGTTTTGGGCCGGTTCTATGGTTTGGGTTGGGGTTGCGGTTGAGGTTGTGGCTGGGTTTGGGGTTGGAGTTGAGGTTGGTATTTGGGCTGGGGTTGGGGCTGGCATTGGGTTCAGGTTGGTATTTGGAGCTGGGTTTGGGGCCAGGCTGGTGTTTGAGCTGGGCCTGGGGTTTTGGTTGGTGCTGGGGGTGTGGCTGGGTTTAAGGTTGGGGTTGGGGTTGAGCCTGGGGTTGGAACTCAGGTTGGTATTTAGGGCTGAGGTTGTGTCTGGTGTTGGGGTTGGAATTGGTGCTGTGGTTGGGGTTGACGTTGGTATTTGGGGCTGGAGTTGGGGTAGGGACTGGGACTGGTTTTGGGGTTGGAGCTGGGGTTGGTATTGGGGTTGGTGTAGGGGCTGGTATTAGGGTTGGGGTTGGTGCTGGGTTTGGGGCTGGTTTTGGGATTGGGGTTGAGGTTGGTATTTGGAGCTGGGGTTGGGGTTGGGGCTGAGGTTGGTATTCGGGGTTGGGTTTGGAGTTGAGGCTGGGGATTGTAGTTGAGGTGGGGGGGGGTTGGGTTGATGTTGGGGATGTATTTGAGGCTAGGGCTGCGCCTGGGTTGGTGCTGATGCTGGAGATGGGGTTGGAGCTGATGTTGGGGTTGGTATTGTGGTTGGGGCTGGGATTGGGGTTGGGGTTGGGGTTGAGGTTGGGGCTAGGACTGGGGTTGTGGTTTGGGTTGGGTTTGGGGTTGGATCTGGTGTAGCGGTTGATATTGGTATTTGGGTTTGTGGTTGGGGCTGGTGATGGGTTTGGGGCTGGGGTTGAGTTCGGGGGCTGTGGTTGGGGCTCAGGTTTCAGGCCGTGGTAGGTGTTGGGGCTGAGGTTGGGGTTGAGTTTGAGGTTGGGGCTAGGGCTGGGGTTGTGGTTTGGGTTGGGTTTGGGATTCGGTTTTGGGTTGGGGTTGCAGTTGATTTGGGTATTTGGGTTTGGAGCCTGGATTGTTGCTGGGGTTGGGGTTGGATTTGGGATTGAGGTTGCGGTTGTGGTTTGGGCTGGGGTTGAGGCTGATGTTGGAGCTGGGATTTGGGATGGCGTTGGGGCTGGGGTTGGGATTGAGGTTGGTGTATGGGTTTGCGGCTGGGGTTGGGGCTGGGGTTAGGGCCCGGGTTGAGGCTTGCGTTGAGGCTGGGATTGGAGCTGGGATTGGGGTCGGGGGCTGTGATTGGGGCTTAGGTTTGAGGCTGCGGCAGGTGTTGGGGCTGGGGTTGGGGTTGAGTTTGAGGTTGGGCTTGTGGCTGGGGTTGGGTTTGAGGCCAGGGCTGGTGTTTGGGGATTGGGTTGAGGCTGGGGTTGAGATTGAGGTTGGGATTTGGGGCTGGGGGTAGGGCTACTGTTGGGGTTGGGGCTGAATTTGGAGTTGGGGTTGAGGTTGATATTTAGGGTTGGGGCTGGGGTTGGGCTGGGTTTGAGGTTTGGGCTGGGGTTTGTATTTGGGTTTGGGTTTGGGGTTGGAGTTGAGGCTGGGGATGGTGGTTGAGGTTGGGGTTTGGGTTATGGTTGGGGTTGAGTTTGAGGCTGGGGCTGCACCTGGGTTGGTGCTGGGGATGGGGATGGAGCTGGGGGAGGGACTAGCATTATGGTTGGGGCTGGGGTTGGGTTTGGGGTTGGGCTGTGTGTTGGGTTGAGGCTGGGGATTGAGGTTCAGGATGGGGTTTGGGGCTGGGCTGTGGGTTGGGTTGAGGCTGGGAGTTGGGGTTGAGGCTGGGGGTTGGGGCTGCGCTGTGGGTTGGGTTGAGGCTGAGGTTGGGGCTTGGGAATGCGAATGGTGCTGGTGCTGGAGAAAGGCTTCAATATTGGAGACACCATCCTCCAAGAAGACATTAAACTGAGGTGGTGTCTGTACCTGTTGAGGTGGGCATAGAGTTGCCACCCCCGAGGCCACTGATGGACAAAACCCCCTTTCCGAGCGAGACAGCTGAGACGTGATCTTTAGGCTAAGGTCAAGTGTAGTTACTGTTCACATCAATTAGTCCTTGAGCTAAAGCAATGCTGGACTTCATCTCCTCTTGAGATTGGCTTGTGTTGGTTGCCTCGACCCAATCTCACCCATAACTGCGCATTATGGGAAAGATTGAGCTCCTGACCACCCTCTGTTGGCTGGGATCGGTATTGCAGCACTTCCCATCTGAAGTTTCACAACTGGCCCCAAGGTGACGTTTGGCAACGGAATGTCGGAATCGAGCCACCGCTCTGTGTGACAGTCTCCAGTCTGGTTCCTGAGCCACGTGGGTCCACAGTATTCCAGGGCACTCACTGCTGATGACTAGGCCGGAGCCCGATGAGCAGAGGGAGCGAACAGGATGGTAGAGGGTTAGGAGGTCGGAGAGCTGGTGGGTAGCAAGACCATGGAGGGCTTTGAAGGTGAGGATCAGGATTTGAACTGTTTTCTTTGTGTGATGGGACGCCAGTGGAATTGGGCAAGGATGGGGGTGATTAGGGTTATGGATCCTAGTGCGGGAGAGGACACGGGCAGCAGAGTTCTGGATGACCTGCAGCCAGTGGAGGGAGGAGTTGGGGAGGCCGCCAAGCAGTGAGTTTGCACAATCAAGTCTTGATGTAATAGAGGAATCCTTTCTAGGAATCACAGTGTTGTTAAAGTTAGCATTGTTTTGACTTGCTGTGGTTTCTGTGGACAAAACCGCTGTGATTGCCTGTAATTAATCTTACACTCTGTCCAACTGAACACCCAGGGGGAGGGAGAGGGAAGGCAGACAGGTGGGAGGGAGATCAAAGGCATGGCCAAAGAGAAGGGTCTTGAGACCAGCCTTGAAGGCAAGTGAGGAAGCGAGGCGAAGGGACCGTGGGATGGAGTTGCAGAGTGTGGGGGCAGAGTGGCTGAAAGCCCGGCCACCGATGGTTGGGCGGGAGACATGGAGCAGCCGGAGCCCGATAAACGGAGGGAGTGGGCAGGTTGGTAGGGAGTCAGCAGGTCAGAGAGGTAGGAGGGGGCGAGGCCATGGATGGCCTTAAAGGTGAGGACGAGGATCGTGAATTCAATCCTCTGGGGGATGGAGAGCCAGTGGAGTCGGGCGAGGGGGGGAGTGACGGGGTCACGGAGTCTGGTGCCCGAGAGCACACGAGCTGCAGAGTTCTGGATGATCTGTAGATTGTGAAGGGAAGAGGTGGGAAGGCCGATGAGGAGGGAGTTCCCCTAATCGAGCCTTGAGGTGACGAATGCGTGGGTGAGGGTTTGGGCAGCCGAGGGCTGAGGCCGTGGCGGAGTCTGGCAATGCTGCTCAACTGATAAAATCATTGTAATATTAGGCCTGATTCCCCCTCCCACTCCCTCCTGCTCACTCTGCGTCAAACAACCCTCCCCCTGCCCCTGCCCCTGCTCGCTCCGCACCTAATCCTCCTCCCTGTGTGTGCATGTATGTGAGTATGTGTGTATGTGTATGTGAGTATATGTATGTGTGTCTGTATGTGTATGTGTGTCTGTATGTGTGTGTGTGTGTGTATGTGTGTATATGTATGTGTGTATATGTATGTATATATGTGTGTCTGTATGTGTCTGTGTGTGTGTGTATGTGTATGTATATATGTGTGTCTGTATGTGTGTGTGTGTGTATATATGTATATATATGTGTCTGTATGTGTGTGTGTGTGTATGTGTGTGTGTATATATGTATGTATATATGTGTGTCTGTATGTGTGTGTGTATGTATGTGCGTGTGTATGTATGTATGTATATATATATGTGTGTCTGTATGTGTGTGTGTGTGTGTGTATATGTATGTATGTATGTATATATGTGTTTGTGTGTGTGTGTGTATGTGTGTGTGTGTGTGTGTATATGTATGTATATATGTGTGTCTGTAGGTGTGTGTGTATGTGTGTGTGTGTGTGCGTGTGTGTATATGTATGTATATATATGTGTCTGTATGTGTGTGTGTGTGTGTATATGTATGTATATATGTGTGTCTGTATGTGTGTGTGTGTGTATATGTATGTATATATGTGTGTCTGTAGGTGTGTGTGTATGTGTGTGTGTGTGTGCGTGTGTGTATATGTATGTATATATATGTGTCTGTATGTGTGTGTGTGTGTATGCGTGCTCCCTGGCGTGTGCTCTGATTTGATGGAACACAGGCTGACTCAGCTTCCATGAAATGTTTACGCAGCCTCAGCTTTTGGCCCTGATCTCAGTGTTGGCTCCGAGGGTATCTGGGTTACATAACCGGAAGCCAGTGTCATTGCAATCCTCAGCCCCACCTCCCAGCCCACCATCAGCTAAACCCCCCCACCCTCCACCCCCCACCCCCACCCCCACCACCAGCCCTCAGCCCAAGACAAGCTTTCATATTATCTTAGTTCTGAACATCTCACATTGTTTCATAGGTCTTTACTGTTAGGTGTAGGGAGCGTCTGCTCTCAGCCGCCTGCACTCTCGCCTCAAGATTTGGGTTCGAGCCACACCCATCCCCCCACCATCCCCCCCACCACACACTCCCCTCGCTTTCAGGATATAGAGCTGTGTAGCGCAGTCCTGGGGGGGAGAGAGAGAGAGAGAGCGTTGCATTCAGAGATGCCGTCCTCCGGATGAGACGAACCCTGAGAAGTGCTTTCAGACCTGGAAGGCGCTGGGTCAGATGTCAGGGTTATCATTAATTTTATCATCTTCAATCTCATGTGGAGTCCCATATTGCAGTGTTTAGAGCCCTCACCTTGCAAGCCAGAGGACCTGGGTTCGATTCCCGGGCAGGACGAAACCTTAGACAAGTTTCCTTACTCCACACACCTCTGTTTTCGCAGCAGTGAGTAGGAACCCGGTTGTCAGTCGATTGGCGGATCGCTTTCTGGGGGTAATTAATAATCCCTCCAAAAAAAGTTGCTCGCTCAATCCACGACTGTTTGCGGGGACACTGCTGGGCCAATTGCCTGCCGCGTTTTGCCCACAAAATACAATTCACTCCACAGTATATTCTTTGAAGCCCTTTGAGACGCCTGAAATGTGTGATAAGGCGCCATATCAAATACAGGATTATTATTATTAAATCTCAGCCTCTGGCGACGGAGTCTCCAACAGTGAAACCGTTGATCAGGATTTACATAAGAACATAAGAATTAGGAGCAGGAGTAGGGCATTCAGCCCCTCGAGCCTGTGCCCCGCCATTCAGTAAGATCATGGCTGATCTTCTCACCTAACTCTAATTACCCGCCCTCTCCCCATAGCCCCTAATCCTCTATTTTTTAAAAATCTATCTGTCTCAGCCTTGAAGATGTTCAAGGACTGACATCTACAGTCTTCTGGGGGAGTGAATTCCATAAATTCATTACCCTCTGAGTGAAGAAATGTTTCCTCAACTCTGTTCTAAAAGGCTGTCCCTTAATTTTCAGACTATGACCCCTGGTTATAGATTCTCCTCCCGGGGAAACACTCCCTCAGTGTCTACTTTATCAGCTCTTTAAGAATCTTATATGTTTCAATAAGATCTAAAGATTTTCAATAAGATTTACTGCTTTGATTTATCCTTTGGCAGTTTTCCCTGAAGCATCCCTTAACCTATGATGTGGGAGGGGGTGGGCGGGGGATGGGGGACAGTGACTAAGTCCACGGGTGGGTTACAGAAACTGAGTCACTGACAGACAGTGTGTGGCTGTGGGTGACGTTGGCTGATGTCAGTGGAAAGTTGAGGGCGGTGAGTTTGAAACTTGCTGCATAAATACAGCTGAGCTCAGGGCAGCTTCACACTCAGCTCATCACAGCTCAGCTCATCACAGCTCAGCTCCTCACATCTCAGCTCCTCACAGCTCAGCTCATCACAGCTCAGCTCATCACAGCTCAGCTCCTCAGTCACAGACAGCCAACAGCATGGACACCAAGATCATCCTCCTTCTCCTGGTCACAGCCCTCGCTGCTCTCCACACCACACAAGGTGAGTGTCTGCTGCCTCCTGCCTCCCACACCAACCTCACTCCGTTTCTCTTCTCAATCTCTGCCGTCAAGTGGACTTGGGTTTGAGCCCCAGATCGGGGTATCTGAGCTCACAGTCCAGGCTGCCGCTCCAGCGCAGGGCTGGGGACACACAGAGAGAGAGAGAGAGAGAGAGAGAGATACTTTGTCAAAGGCTCCATCCTTCGGATGAGATATTAAACAGAGCTCCCCCCAACTCTTTGTACGTTCAAGCCCAATGCACACTCTGGGGTCCCCCAAAGCCTTGGCTCTCACCAACCTGCGCCTAATACTCTCCGGAATTAGGTAAGCAGGAGCCCTCCCTCCAGGGAGAGAGCGCACATTCCATCCCAACTATCTATCTCTGGCATTTCCAGGTGTAGGAGGGATGGACGGAAATCTCAGCTGTGTTTGGAGACTCTTAAGCAAAGCTGATGGGTTTCCCCGTGTGTCAGACACCCGACTGGGCAAAAAATAATTCAGGTAGTCATTAAAGGGAACGGTTGCCTGTTATTTGGTGAGCGCTGTACATCCAGGAGAGAGAGAAAGAAAAAGTGTTGAGAATAATGGTGTGTGTTTTTACAGGGTTTCCAGCATTCCCACCTATCTCATGTTGCACCCGGGTGGTTAATTACTTCACCAAACACCTGGGGAAACGGGTCACGAAAGTGGAGATTCAGAAAACTAATCACTGCACGATCAAGGCCGTTGTGTAAGTTTTACTCACAGAAATTTATTATTGATAACAATAATAAACCTTGCATTTGATATAGCACCTTACCACACAGTTGCGATGTCTCAACGCGCTTCAAACAATATACTCTAAAGTGTTGTGACTGTGTATTTTGTGGGCGAAACGTGGCGGCCCAATTGCCCACAGCAGTGTCCCACAAACAGTCGTCATAATATTAATCTTTGCGCCTCACGTAGCGCCTTATCAAGTCTTCGCAACGTCTCAAAGCGCTTCACAGCATATACTGTAACGTATGGTGACTGTATATTGTGGGTGAAACACACGTGTTGTGTGGGGTGTTGAGCAGTGTGTGACTGCGGGTTGGTTATTATGGGATGGCGGGGGTGTCTGGTTGCTAATGGGCTGTGTTTTGATGTCTCTTAGGCTTCACATACGCAAACGTAAGCTTTGCGTGGATCCCAATAACAAGGTTCTGAAAAAGTGGCTGAAGGCGAGAAAGATCCCCATGTGAGGGTGTGCGAGCGACGACCAGGACGAGGGGAGGGGAAGGGGAGATCCCGGATGGAAGTGAACCCCAACCACGGAAAGCCCACATGTGCCACTTGCTCCGAGGCCTTCAGTCATCCAGACACACAGGCCTCTCGCCTACACCTGTCCCGAGCACCAACTGAGCGCAGTGATTCGGGCAGGACTGCACTTTAAGACACTCACACTGTGAAACGTTCTGTACACGCCTTATACACGCCTCTTACACACTCTGTACATGTGTGCAATGCAATATTTATCACCGTTGTTGGTCAGACCGATTTAATAAATAACAGTTTTTGTTAATATTTGAATCTGAGTTTCATTCAATCATCCTCTCCGCGACTTTCGCTCTCTCTCTCCATCTCTCCTTCCCTCTCCATCTCTCCTTCCCTCTCCATTTCTCCCCCTCTCTCCATCTCTCCCTTCCTTTCCATCTCTCCCTCCCTCTCCATCTCTCGTCTCTTTCTCCATCTCTCCATCTCCCATCTCTCTCTCCATCTTTACCCTCCCTTTGCATTGGGGCTCGGCCTGGGGTTGAGATCAGTGTTTGCGGTGAGGGTTGGGGCTGGGTTTGAAGTTAAAGTTGGGCTGGGGTTTGGGTTGTGCCTGGGATTTTGTTTGGGGGTTGGGGCCGGGTTTGAGATTGGGGTGGGGCTGGTGTTGTGGCTGGGGTTGGGGTTCAGCATTATGGGAAATATTGAGCTCCTGACCACCTTCTTTTGGCTGAGATTGGTATTGCAGCACTTCCCATCTGAGGAGTGTGACCTGCCCTCACACAGAGAAAGCAGAGATACTGGAATGCAGAGCTGACTTGAGCACCTGGTCACGAGCTCAGGTCGGGCTTGTCCTGCTGAAGAGGCCATCCCATGACCTGGTGAAGTTCAGCTCTGCATTGTCCTTTGATAATCTGTGGCCTGGAAAAGTTTGGGGGGGGTCTTGTCTGAACTAATCATCCCTCCCTCTCCATTTCTCCCCTTCCTCTCCATCTCTCCATCCCTCTCTATCTCTCCATCCTCTTCCCCTCTCCTCATGTATCCCTCCCTCTCCATCTCTCGCCTGCCTCTCCATCTCTCCCCTCCCTCTCCATCTCTCTCCCTCACCCCATCTCTCCTCCCTCTCTTCATTGCTCCTCTCCCTTTTCATCTATCATATCCCTCCCCATCTCTTCCCTCTATCTCAATTTGTGCCTTCCCTCTCCATCATTCCCTCCCTCTCCATCTCTCCCCCTCCTTGCATCTCCATAAGACATAGGAGCAGGAATAAACTATTTGCCCCCTTGCGCCTGCCCTGCCATTTAATAAGATCATGGCTTCTTCTAACCTAAATCCATTTACCCGCCCTATCCCATATCCCATAATCCCTCTGTCCTCTAGAAATCTATCAACCTCAGTCTTGAATCTTGCTCTCCCTCTCCATCTCTCCCTCACTCTCCACCTTTCTCCATTCTCCATCTCTCCTCTCCTCCATCTCTCCCTCTGTATCTATTACCTTCCTCTCCATCTCTCTATCTCCATCTTTCCCCTCCCTTTGGGTTGGGCCTGAAATTGAGGTCAGGATTTGGGGCTAGTGCTATGGTTGGGGCTGGGGTTAATGTTGGGATTGGTGTTGGAGTTGCGGTTGGTGCTGGGGATGGTTCTGTGTTTGGGGTTGGCGGCAGGTGTTGGAGTTGGGGTTGAGTTTGAGGTTGGTGTTGCGTTTGGGGCTGGGGTTGGGGATGGGTTTTGGGCCGGTTCTATGGTTTGGGTTGGGGTTGCGGTTGAGGTTGTGGCTGGGTTTGGGGTTGGAGTTGAGGTTGGTATTTGGGCTGGGGTTGGGGCTGGCATTGGGTTCAGGTTGGTATTTGGAGCTGGGTTTGGGGCCAGGCTGGTGTTTGAGCTGGGCCTGGGGTTTTGGTTGGTGCTGGGGGTGTGGCTGGGTTTAAGGTTGGGGTTGGGGTTGAGCCTGGGGTTGGAATTCAGGTTGGTATTTAGGGCTGAGGTTGTGTCTGGTGTTGGGGTTGGAATTGGTGCTGTGGTTGGGGTTGACGTTGGTATTTGGGGCTGGAGTTGGGGTAGGGACTGGGACTGGTTTTGGGGTTGGAGCTGGGGTTGGTATTGGGGTTGGTGTAGGGGCTGGTATTAGGGTTGGGGTTGGTGCTGTGTTTGGGGCTGGTTTTGGGATTGCGGTTGAGGTTGGTATTTGGAGCTGGGGTTGGGGTTGGGGCTGAGGTTGGTATTCGGGGTTGGGTTTGGAGTTGAGGCTGGGGATTGTAGTTGAGGTGGGGGGGGGGTTGGGTTGATGTTGGGGTTGTATTTGAGGCTAGGGCTGCGCCTGGGTTGGTGCTGATGCTGGAGATGGGGTTGGAGCTGATGTTGGGGTTGGTGTTGTGGTTGGGGCTGGGGTTGGGGTTGGGGTTGGGGTTGAGGTTGGGGCTAGGACTGGGGTTGTGGTTTGGGTTGGGTTTGGGGTTGGATCTGGTGTAGCGGTTGATATTGGTATTTGGGTTTGTGGTTGGGGCTGGTGATGGGTTTGGGGCTGGGGTTGAGTTCGGGGGCTGTGGTTGGGGCTCAGGTTTCAGGCCGTGGTAGGTGTTGGGGCTGAGGTTGGGGTTGAGTTTGAGGTTGGGGCTAGGGCTGGGGTTGTGGTTTGGGTTGGGTTTGGGATTTGGTTTTGTGTTGGGGTTGGGGTTGCAGTTGATTTGGGTATTTGGGTTTGGAGCCTGGATTGTTGCTGGGGTTGGGGTTGGGGTTGGATTTGGGATTGAGGTTGCGGTTGTGGTTTGGGCTGGGGTTGAGGCTGATGTTGGAGCTGGGATTTGGGATGGCGTTGGGGCTGGGGTTGGGATTGAGGTTGGTGTATGGGTTTGCGGCTGGGGTTGGGGCTGGGGTTAGGGCCCGGGTTGAGGCTTGCGTTGAGGCTGGGATTGGAGCTGGGTTGGGGTCGGGGGCTGTGATTGGGGCTTAGGTTTGAGGCTGCGGCAGGTGTTGGGGCTGGGGTTGGGGTTGAGTTTGAGGTTGGGTTTGTGGCTGGGGTTGGGTTTGAGGCCAGGGCTGGTGTTTGGGGATTGGATTGAGGCTGGGGTTGGGATTGAGGTTGGGATTTGGGGCTGGGGGTAGGGCTAGTGTTGGGGTTGGGGCTGAATTTGGAGTTGGGTTTGGGGTTGATATTTAGGGTTGGGGCTGGGGTTGGGCTGGGGTTTGTATTTGGGGTTGGGTTTGGGGTTAGAGTTGAGGCTGGGGATTGTGGTTGAGGTTGGGGTTTGGGTTATGGTTGGGGTTGAGTTTGAGGCTGGGGCTGCACCTGGGTTGGTGTTGGTGCTGGGGATGGGGATGGAGCTGGGGGAGGGACTAGCGTTATGGTTGAGGCTGGGGTTGGGTTTGGGGTTGGGCTGGTTTGGGTTGAGGCTGGGTGAGGCTGATGGGTTGGGCTGGCTGTGGGTTGGGTTGAGGCTGGGAGTTGGGGTTGAGGATGGGTTTGGGGCTGCGCTGTGGGTTGGGTTGAGGCTGGGAGTTGGGGTTGAGGATGGGGGTTGGGGCTGCGCTGTGGGTTGGGTTGAGGCTGAGGTTGGGGCTTGGGAGTGCGAATGGTGCTGGTGCTGGAGAAAGGCTTCAATATTGGAGACACCATCCTCCAAGAAGACATTAAACTGAGGTGGTGTCTGTACCTGTTGAGGTGGGCATAGAGTTGCCACCCCCGAGGCCACTGATGGACAAAACCCCCTTTCCGAGCGAGACAGCTGAGACGTGATCTTTAGGCTAAGGTCAAGTGTAGTTACTGTTCACATCAATTAGTCCTTGAGCTAAAGCAATGCTGGACTTCATCTCCTCTTGAGATTGGCTTGTGTTGGTTGCCTCGACCCAATCTCACCCATAACTGCGCATTATGGGAAAGATTGAGCTCCTGACCACCCTCTGTTGGCTGGGATCGGTATTGCAGCACTTCCCATCTGAAGTTTCACAACTGGCCCCAAGGTGACGTTTGGCAACGGAATGTCGGAATCGAGCCACCGCTCTGTGTGACAGTCTCCAGTCTGGTTCCTGAGCCACGTGGGTCCACAGTATTCCAGGGCACTCACTGCTGATGACTAGGCCGGAGCCCGATGAGCAGAGGGAGCGAACAGGATGGTAGAGGGTTAGGAGGTCGGAGAGCTGGTGGGTAGCAAGACCATGGAGGGCTTTGAAGGTGAGGATCAGGATATTGAACTGTATCCTTTGTGTGATGGGACGCCAGTGGAATTGGGCAAGGATGGGGGTGATTAGGGTTACAGATCCTAGTGCGGGAGAGGACACGGGCAGCAGAGTTCTGGATGACCTGCAGCCAGTGGAGGGAGGAGTTGGGGAGGCCGCCAAGCAGTGAGTTTGCACAATCAAGTCTTGATGTAATAGAGGAATCCTTTCTAGGAATCACAGTGTTGTTAAAGTTAGCATTGTTTTGACTTGCTGTGGTTTCTGTGGACAAAACCGCTGTGATTGCCTGTAATTAATCTTACACTTTGTCCAACTGAACATCCAGGGGGAGGGGAGGGAAGGCAGACAGGTGGGAGGGAGACCAAAGGCATGGCCAAAGAGAAGGGTCTTGAGACCAGCCTTGAAGGCAAGTGAGGAAGCGAGGCGAAGGGACCGTGGGATGGAGTTGCAGAGTGTGGGGGCAGAGAGGCTGAAAGCCCGGCCACCGATGGTTGGGCGGGAGACATGGAGCAGCCGGAGCCCGATAAACGGAGGGAGTGGGCAGGTTGGTAGGGAGTCAGCAGGTCAGAGAGGTAGGAGGGGGCGAGGCCATGGATGGCCTTAAAGGTGAGGACGAGGATCGTGGATTCAATCCTCTGGGGGATGGGGAGCCAGTGGAGTCGGGCAAGGGGGGGAGTGATGGGGTTACGGAGTCTGGTGCCCGAGAGCACACGAGCTGCAGAGTTCTGGATGATCTGTAGATTGTGAAGGGAAGAGGTGGGAAGGCCGATGAGGAGGGAGTTCCCCTAATCGAGCCTTGAGGTGACGAATGCGTGGGTGAGGGTTTGGGCAGCCGAGGGCTGAGGCCGTGGCGGAGTCCGGCAATGCTGCTCAACTGATAAAATCATTGTAATATTAGGCCTGATTCCCCCTCCCACTCCCTCCTGCTCACTCTGCGTCAAACAACCCTCCCCCTGCCCCTGCCCCTGCTCGCTCCGCACCTAATCCTCCTCCCTGTGTGTGCATGTATGTGAGTATGTGTGTATATGTATGTGAGTATATGTATGTGTGTCTGTATGTGTATGTGTGTCTGTATGGTGTGTGTGTGTGTGTTATGTGTGTATATGTATGTGTGTATATGTATGTATATATGTGTGT